TTTCTGGAATCTGCTTTGTGACGGTGAAGTCTTAGTTGTACCTGCCTGACTTCACAAAATCAGAAAGGAATGTACAAATATATCAGGGAAGTGACAATTAAATTTTGTTGGTATTATGAGATGGATCGGACGTTTGCGATCTTCATGCTACCAACAAACTTCATGTAGCTCAGGGGAGGAATAATTCACATGATGAGCAACCTTCCAGATGGGAAGTCACAATTCGTGGAGCCAACAAACAATCACGTGAATTGAAATCTGTGATTGACGAATGAGCGATGTCAAATTCTGTCCACGTGCAAGTCAATCATAGGACTACCTTAGCTACCAGCCGACACTTATTTTGTTATATCATCTTAGATTCGGGGGTTGGACTTTTTGTGGAAAATGGTAAGCCCCTTGGATCAATTGGATCAGAACATTCAGCGGCGAATATTTGGCACGCAATTTTTAGCATTTTCCAAAGGGACTCCCTGTAAAACTGCCTTGATCCGAGGCCAACTGTAAGGCAGAAATCCAACTTATTGTCACTTTTATGAAAGTTTCGCAGGAATCTCCTAAATACCAAATGCACTCCCTCTACTGAGATGAATCGCACTCGAAGGTTGTCTTTTTTATTTTTCGTTCAAAGAAGAATTCACCGAGAATGTAGTGGTACAGACGTTTTGCAGGAAGTCGATCTGTTACCGAGATTGACACTTTGATCGCAGGAGCATCATTGCCAATCATGTGAGCGGTATCACTGCGCGATCGGGAGGGTGACAATAAATCCGCGAGAGAATTGTCATGCTCAGGGGACATATCGAAGCCACCCGATCTGCAACCCATCCGATCTACCAGCATTTCGATATTCTGCCACAGACGTAGAAGTGTTGAACGTTTACGTGTTCAACACAAAATTTGACAACGAAAGTCTCGAACTTACATTCAGGATAAGAGGAAATTTTCCATCCCATTTGGTACGGTAAGCAACTAGCTTTTAAACACGACTGTGTTCATGTGTCAGTTCGTCGCATACGTATCTCGATTGTTCTATAGGGAGCCCTAAGTCGTACTCGGATTATTGACTAAAATACGGAGTGTTTAGAACAATATATATAGCCCTTTTGACGAGAATATCTTTTATAAAAACGCGATTACCAGCCATAAGTTTATTGCATTAAACACAAATAAAATGTACACAATGTGCAGGAATGTCGTATAGCTCAACCGCAATTCTTCAGTTCACCGGACCATCCCGTATGTAGTATTCCACAGTCACAAACGCAAAGCCTGTTACTGAAGGTCAATGGTATACCCTGCTCACTAAGTCCCTGAGAGGTTCGCTAGAACAGGGAAGGCAACAAGACGGAATTTTTGGAAGTCCATTAAATGATTCGAATGAGTCAAGTTTCATAAAAGTTATTTACCGGTAACGTAGGATGTTGCGCTTGTTGGATATTTGGATATTAGGCCTTTGACCAAATTATATATATATATATATATATATGTATGCATATTTGTGTGGACCANATTTACCGGTAACGTAGGATGTTGCGATTGTTGGATATTTGGATATTAGGCCTTTGACCAAATTATATATATATATATATATGCATGCATATTTGTGTGGACCACGTGCATTTTTCTCAGGAAAATCAAATTTATTCGCCCAGTTACCAAATTCATAAAATACCTCGCGCTAAATTCTAATAACCATATTGTAAAATGTGAATGAGAAAAGGATTTTGAATCCACATAATTAAGAGATAATTGTTTAGGTGAAATCAACCGACTACGGGGTCGCGTTTATCTTCTTCTAGCTCTGGCCTGAAGAGAAATGTTCCCACAGCGTCAAGGTTTTTCGGTCTGCACCTAAGATTCGACACATACACAACTTATTTTGCCTGATTGCTGAACATACCGCGATTCACTGATTTCCGCTATCTCGGCAGCTGACAGATGATGGTGAAAATAACCCTCTATTCCAAAAGCGAGCATGGCATCTGATCATCTGGAAGAACACATCATAATAAGTAACCAGTTGCCCATTGACACCAGTTTTGCGGTTCATGGAGTTGTTGTGCTGTTTTCACTATTGCAGGACTGAGATCTGGACGGCCTACAGACGACGCGCTCAGGTTCTGGGCCGAATTCTGTTGCACTGTATGCGCCGAATTCCTCAAATCAAATGGAATGACCCTATCCCGAACAGCGAACTACTTTGAAGAGCAGACAAGGTGGGCTCTCATGAAAGTAGAAAGCATAATTAGCTGGTATGTGAAGGCTAATTGAACAGAACGCTCGAAGGAATTTATGTGGGGTCAGATGAAGGATAGAGACCGAAATGAGGGATACAAAATATTCTGCTTCTTGGAAGCCTTCCGGTATTACTCTACTTATTGTTTTAGGTCACGCTACATCCTGGCACTCAACAGAAGCACCTAGATTACGGTTATCCGAGCAGGTCTTAGAAGGCTTGAGACGTAAATAGTTCAAATGTCTTTCTGGAGGGCTTGAAGCACTAGTCCCGTTCTCGACCGCCAGAACTTGGGCAGTATGCTGACTCATGTGCCTTGACTGAATCGGTCCTGTTGTTCACCGGCCTACTCACCGGTCTACACTTGCAAGATGCTGTACTGACAAAGGAATGACATTTGATTAGATAACGACACATGACATATGTTGACAGATGGCGCCTTCATATCAGTGTCAGATGAGTAGCTTATGTTAGTGACCTTGTTTGCTAATTGCTTAGGATTAAATGTTAGCTTTCAAAGGGTCTCCATCTGGTCTTTGAGAATTTGAGGACATCTGGATATTTCCCGACAGGATTTTCGTCATGTGAGTGAAGATAGTATCTGCTGTACAGTTGCATCATCTTCAGTGGGGAGCATCAATAGCGCGCACCTCACGGAACTGAGGGAGTTTGAAAGCCGCAACCATTCACAGAGTATTTGGATACTGCACCATTCAGCTAAGATGATTGTTCACTAGCTTGATTACCTCACATCACTGTACGGTCGACTGCCAAACCCCTTTCTTTGGATGGCATAAGCCAGTGGGCCGTATTATATTCGGCTCTGCATGTAACAACTTCCTCTCCTAGTTGGATACAACCGGAAGGATAACAAATATATCTAGGAATAAAGAAAGGGTGCGAAACAAATTTTTTATGCACGGAGTTGAGATACTCCAAAAATCTTCGTACACATCACCCAAGACTGTTGCTTTTAGTTACGCGCTTTTACACTACGTAAAAATGGACAATTTTTCTAAATAGTTGTAACCACATGGAAGCGAGACGACTTTGGGCGCAAAACCTATTGAATAAGAACACATGTGGAGATTATATCACTCTATGATGCATTTTTCACAGATATTCTAGCAGGATAACATTACAAGTAAAATGGTTTCTCATTTCCGTAGATGAGCGGAAAACTTGGTCTCCTAGATGACCTTAGGTTGAACATTTTATTGGGCGGTGCAATTTGGGAAACAGGTGCTAGTTTTGTGCGTGTCTGTCTGTAGGCACACTATTCCAACTAACGTTGAAATTTCGTGCTCGGCGTGACTGCACATCAACCTGCTTGATACATAATCACTGCCCATGCAACACTCGAGGCATGTGTAGGGTCATGTTTAAAGTTAGTTAGATAAGCTCAGCCGAAATTCAGGTAATAAGTTGAAACAATCAAGGGATAAAGAAATAGGATTGTGGGTGACGTAACGTGGACAAGGTGTTAGATGAATCCTGCCAAAACTCATAGACTCCTAAGCTATTTCAGTTATAAAGCATGAGAAACACCGGCTTCTAGTTAAATAACCAATTAGTTCGAACCTTGAAGTATTTGACACACTCATCTCTAGGTTGGCGATACGTATACAGTTTTGCGAGCTCATTCCCAAAGTTTAGAGCTTGTCCGTATAGAATTGGAGAAGGAGAACAATTATTTCAATATTAAGACTGACATTTGGGTAAGCTGAAGGAATATAAAAATGACATGAGATAGCGGACTCCAATAAAAGGATTGTGATAAGCACAGTTTAGAGATCAAAAGCATCATACTGATGATGGAAAATTTTTATCGTGTTGGGATTAAACCTATTCCTCAGGTTTTCGATTTAGAGTTTGTTGCTTTTTTGTAGGTGTTTTCTCCGTAAGAGGACCATGTGTGAGACTCGTTCGATACAGGTCGCTCACCCTAAGCGATACTTACAGGTACGCAATGAATAACATTGAGCGGTGTGTTACCAGCCCTTAGGAACAGTCTTACTCATGTAACTGCATTATGCATTTGTAGACTTACTCTATAATAACAACTCAAGAAGAAAATACTGCAGCCTACAACCAACGTCTAAACAGCAGAATCAAGCCGTTCACCGAATGGAAATCTGATATTTAACTCACCAATATAGGAAACTTGTTTTCTCATGGTACATTCCGTGGTCTGGGATGAAAACAAAAACGGGTATGCAGTTCTTTTTTCGGATATAATTTAACCAGTTAGGGTTTTGGCTACAAAGACCGAAGTATCAGTATACACCGGCACCTATCAGACATCCATTCTTTACTGCCAGAAATAATGTGGGTATTCATCCCTGATGTGAGCTCAAATTAAACGCTTTCGCGACTTTACTCACGACATCAAATGCTTTATAAAAATAGATGAAATATTTGGGCGTAAAATACCATAGCACTATCAAAGCATTTCAACTCTCAGAGTGAGAGACATTCCACTGAGAGCTGTCAAACATTTGAATGTGAAATTATTCTCCGTAACCCCGACCATGACGCTATCTGGTTTGCTTAGTAGTTTGCAACAGTAATTTTTATAAGTACAGATTTTTATAGGAACATAACTTTGAGGTGGCTTATCCACTCATGACCTGATTTCTCGGTTCAGACGGCACATACCAGGATCATTAGGATACGGGTGCATCTGATTCCCTAGTTTGTTTATATCTACTAATATCTTATGGTAATAATTGTAGAACACAAAAAGCTAACAAGCTCACCGTGGTGTCAAAATTGATATTCGTTCGTATGGAACGATTATTCAGCGGTTGTATCGGTCGAAAATTATCAGCCATGGAGCCGGACCACAGTGTTTGAGCAACGCGCAGTCTTCGAAGTGTCTTAAGCTTTGTGAAGAGGAAAGCGTGAATTTGTTGACTATAAAAATGAATTGTACATCTTGTCTCCTGCCACGTGGAACTACCCAAGATATTGAAAAGTAGATAATTCTCAAATAGAATCTGCAATAATCTAAAAGTCACTTAAATATTATCCTTATGGTTTTGACCGCAACCAAATAGATAACGCTCGTCAGCTGAAAACGTTTAATGTTTAATTCAGGTGAAAGGGACCAGTCACTTTCACTCGACATTAAGACGACACTTGAGAACTTGGAGGACGCTAAACCATCAGTCGAGGTTGCTGCGATGAACGATACTGCTGAAAGTCGCTATGCTTTCCCGTTTTCAAGAAATTCTGTATATAAAAGTGAACCCTAAGTTGTCACCAAGCCGTATCTTATCCTTACCTAACACAAATGCTTCATATTTTTTTATCAACAAAAGCTCAATTCACGGACAAATCAGAATACGCGCCAGTTGGTTCATTTCGTTTTTTTGGCGAGCAGATAGGTTTTGCTGCAAAACGCCGTTTCGTTATGTAGAAGGTTTGTTGCAAACGTGACTGGAAGCCCTGCTTCAAAACTCTCAACCTAGATAGAAAACTCAACAGATGTTTCAGGTACCCGCAACCAGACTTTGTGGTCAAAAGCTTGGGGCTTCAAGTTGATAAAGCGTCGGAAAAAATCTCAAAAAGATACCAGAGCGCAACCTTGTGGCATTGATTCACCGGATTCATGAATCATTTCGGACACGAAACTGTTCCATCTAGTCTGATTTACCTTGTGTGCTATTACTGCCTTGATTTTTCTCATATGATCTGAGCACATGTGTGCTAACGGACATTTAAACTCTATTCGATAAAGCTTAACAAAAATTGAACATGCATAGGAGCACGTCTTTGAGCTAATATATTAGGAATATTGGGATAAAGATAATGATCTTTCAGAATTATATAGTGACTGAGCTTCAAAGAGCACTCCGGAAAACCCAAGTCACCTAATTTTCGTTGTTTAATTCAGAACCAGATGGAACTTGGTTGATCCGCAAAACGTAACTGGTACTAATTTTTCAATTTTGAAAATAACTGATCTCCGCACTGTCAGCACACATCCGCTTCTGTTTTCTTAAATGAGTGGCATTTCGGAGAGCTCAAATAGAGTAACTATCTCCTTTCGCTCCTCAAGACCTACTTTTACGAATTTCTATTGTTGTGAACAACCGTTTTCATAAGACAGTGATGAGTGACACTCCGTAACGGAAGCAAAAGAGACCAGCAAAGCACGATAAGAGTTCGCCAACGGGTAGGTGGAACGAAAGTTTTTCTGCCGAGTCACCGTAGGACGTGGACAAATTGCCAACCTGTTTTATGTAAAGCATTTTAAAAATGTTTATAAGCGCTGTCTCACATAGCCGACTATGGGGCTTCTACTTTTTCTATTGTGCTCAAAGTGCTATTTTAATTATCCTGTTTTTTTTACTTTTGGCGTAGTTTCTTCAGTTTAAATCGGTACATTCGTAAATTTAGTGTTTGACCTCAATGAAATAACGAATACGAAATCGGATTTTTGGAACACAATGGATAGTGACTAGCATGTGCAAATGGTACAAACGGCAGCTTACTCCAGTTCAGGTGGAATTGACAGGACTAATTTCTGAAAGCTTTGTTTTTTTACCCCTGGTTCAACTGACATAAGCCCTGAGACCAACTCAATCTCAAAAAGACTTCTGATATCAGTGCACACCTCTTAAACGCCTTGAGTGGTGTGAATCGGTTTCATCATGTACCAATTGGAAACACTAAAAAAGCCCAACAAATTAAAAAATTGGAATTAAAAGAAAGAGTAATGAGCAGATCGTAATTTCCTTATCTTGCCTGACAGGCTGTCATGGATATTGATGTCTGTCGTAGAACTGTGTGCGCTATTCATAAACACTGTAAAGGTATCCTTTATTTACTTCGGCTGGAGAAATCGGTATGGGATGATTCAGAATGATCCATGTGACTGTCTCATAGCAGCCGGGGAAGGGTAGAGATCCTTGGTAAGTTATGAATTCTTTTGTGGAAGACAGAAGTGAGCGCATCTCGACTCCTCTGAGTTGGAACGTTTCACCTGGTTTGAATGCAGAATAAATATACCAGAAGCAAACGTGACCAACCTTTGAATACTAAAGCGAGCATTTGCGCGTTTGAAACCGTGCAAGGAAAAGCACAAACCGAGGTTGTGTCTTTTCACCGAAAACCGTTAGAAGGGACACCCAAGACGTTATGACCAGTCGTTTAAAAACTATTCGATTTCAACTCAACAGTCAAAAAGGCTTAGGTTTAATCAAATGGCCGTAATATTCAACACTGAAGCGATTGTTGCACTTATGCATTATGGAATGTATACTTTGATTAATTCTTCTGTGGTTGCTCGGTATTCCGTCTTCAATAAAACTGCCAAAAGGCATACACTACATATATACATAATGCATACATATATACATGCATGAAAGCACCTAGGCCCATATATCAATCAGCCCTGAATAAGCACACAGCGTCCATCGGCCAATCGGTTAAACACACCACGTAAAATTAAATGCAATTGAAACAAGCATAAAACGGATGAGAATTTTCAGTTGCATTGAGAATCACTGGTTAAGTAAAATTTTACGAGATCCGAACCCAAATGTAAACATCATTGGATGGGAAAAGATTCTCCAAAATTCATCTACAAGATATCCAGTATATTTGTCTATTTCCACGAAATCGACGTCATATATAACTGAGACCATGTATAACAGTGTATACCACTGATTAAGCACACCAGTGAAAGGAAGAAGGCCTTCGCTGCGGAGTTATTTATTAGTAAATGTCAAGTGACCAGTTACAGACTATCGGACAGGGAAGCGAAACTCATTTGCATCCCATCTACAAAAACTGAAAATCTATCTTCTTTTGAACGCGTCTTCCTGAACTTTCCTGGATATTCATTGGCTCAAATCATTCATTGCTCAAATCCAAGCAAATGCTACAAAGGGACTCCTCAAACTCCGTAATAGATCTCTCTTTTCAAGAGACGCAAAGCGAATTTACAAGAAGAAAACATACCACTCGCATGCCCCCCTATCAGTAGTATCGCTGCTACACAAGTAGCCTATGGTTCCAATGGCCTCCAAATTACGCCCGCGCAATTTATGGAAAGAAATTGTGAAGCTGTTTTGCAGTGTTCGTTTACTATTGTGTAATAGTCGGTGAATATCCAGGAACGTTGAAGAAGATGCTTGAGAATATTCCCTTTTTAAACAGAATGTAAATATGAGATGTTTACTTTCCTGTCTAATGACTTGTAACTGCTTGATTAGTGTCTGCTAATAAATGACTTTGAAATGAATGGCTTTCCTCGTTTAACAGTTGGATCAATTTCCATAATGAAACATTCGGTCCCAGCGATCTCCCTTGGTAAGAAATAAATTCGATTATATGTGGTACGTATGAAGTATATGAATGGCTCCTGGGTTTAATATGCCAGGCGTTTGTATGCAAAGATGGGAGGGTATAAGGAGAGAAAAAACATACCCTTAAAGATAGTCTTTTCCGCTGCCGCCACGATCCCGACCAAATCTTTGTTCGATGTGTTACCCAACTAAGAAAGAATGTTAAAAATCATTTTATTTCCGGAATATTTAAATAGTTTGGATACAAGAACTTAAGACGCAAGTAACCAGTCGGCTCATGCCAGACATATGTAAGAGACAAAGAACTGTATCTTTGCATTTAAAGTTGTCTGGTATATCAGCTTTATATCTTTGTCAGTCAGTTGTTCTTTACTTGGAAACCACCAATTTCAATTCACACGGGGATATTTAAAATAAACGCCACCACAACTGACTTTAAAGTGATAAGGCTAAGCAGACTGATTAGTTACAAAATCAATTATCCGGGGATGAAGAAATTTCAAATCCCAGAAAATGCAGTGTATCGTCCTCATCCTCAATCCCTCGCCCTCTTGTTATAACGTTTTGTCAACATCATTTTCAAATTCAGCATCGGAGTATCAGCTATATCACCTCACCAGAAAAACGTATAAAATTATAGTTAAATAAACTCCAGTTTTATTTCCGTTGATAACCATTGCCCACTTCTGTGGTGAATGTGAAGTCAGATCTAGCTGGCATTCAATAAGTGTTTAGTTGCTTTATTGTGATGAGAATTCATTCGTACGGTACAACTCACTGATCTAAATGATGGTAAACTCATGTACAAAAACTAGAAATACCTTCAAACCTTACAATCTACATGAGTTTCTTAGTGTTTGTAGGCAATCCGCTGCCACATATACTGGGAGAATGCAAGTCCGTTTCAATGCCTATGCCGACAACACTTCTCAGACTGATGCCGCACAACCCAAATGCCCAATCGGGCATTATTCAGTAGGGTTGAAATTATTTTATAACTAAAGACAACTGCTGTGTTCAACGGTATTACATTTCAGATAGTTCAAGCTTACTCTCTGAGCCCTCCGATCAGTCCAGTCCCTTGCAGGCAAATGGGCATGAGTATTGAAGAATATTGGAAGAACCTTAACAACCGCTGCTTCGGGGTTCAGACTTATGAATCAGAGGCTACCAGCATGACCCCGGAACAAAAATCTTTTCGCTGCCCTCTCATTCAGGCTTTTGAGTCGAAGATTCAAGTTGAGGTGCCTATACCAAACGCTTCTTCGTCTTTGGCAACCGAGAACTATCATCCACCCTCGCAGGCCTGGATTCGCCAACCTCCGTCTACAATCATTCCCCCCATCAAATGCTACGATTTGATCGCCCCATCTGTCACGCCAATGCCCAGTGTTTACCCTATCGCTTGGAAAAATAAACCAAAATAATCTCTACTAACCTCAAGAGATCTGGTCGACGAGATAGCCATTAATGTCTGTGATTTACGTCAAATTCAGCAACAGACAATTCTTGTTGAAACAATGCTTTCTGTGTCAATATAGGTTATTGAATTTAACCCGACCTCATGTTAACTCCCGATTTAGTTGCTTACTCCGCCTATGTACTTTTGACTCTCCACTTGTTTTGCTAATCTGCACCCGCTACTCATCTTGCCGCAAAGGTCGTCGCGTCCGTCGCTTGTGTTTTGGCATGTGTGAATGTGTGTGAATATGCGCAGCTGACCTACCTACACATGCACGTTCGTGACCGTTCGTGCCCGTTCGCTAAGCCTGTCTTGACGTGTTTTCTCATGGGTTTCGTGTGATCGCATCGCCAATATGAATCCTGTGGCTGTCGCTGGGATGGTCGACCGCAACCCACACTACTGAGCCAACATTCCGCTCAATATTGTTTGGTGTGTGGAGCTTGACAGTGATAGTTGTACACTTGTTGACGCTGTGAGCGTTGTACACATTTGCTTACCCTTGTGTAAATAGTGCCGTAGAATCTCGGAACCAAATCTTCCATTTGATATTCGCGATTGTCGAACTTACGCGACACTTATCGGGAAACTCAAGACAAATTGTCACCGAAATAGGGATGTGAGGCCCTATATCAGTCGTGCACCTCAATCGGCTTTGGACGAGCACAGACTTTCTGAAAATCATTCTTCGGGTGTCTAGTGATGCTGACACAATGGCAGATGGTATTTTCGCTCCGCGAAAAGGCTGAAGCCACTTTACTGGACGGGATCCCATTAAACAGTTCTCCTTAGGCTGCTTCATGATCAATCCAGGTAGATGTGCTAAGCGGATTCACTTGCTTTATGGGCATACCACTCACGGGCTGCAGTTCTGAACTGCGGAGGACGGGTTTTATCGGAATCTGTCGCGACTGCTTCGGTCAGCAAGAAGGACGGATGTAGTCCCCCTGGCAAATGAGATGGACGCTTTGATTGTGCAAATAAGCCCGGAAAGAGTAAAGTTGTGTGGTAGATTTGGAGGCGACACTTAGAGAACGGATACTCGGGAGTGCCTTCTTCAGTTTTCTGTTCCTTTTCACTACGAACTTCCAGCACAAATGCTCACACGCCTAACATGGTTACCATTTGCGAATGTGAAACCTCCATTAAAGATTGGCTTTCCCTTTAGAATATGCAACTTGAACCTGATCACGTCACTGAGCAGCCTGGTCATCACTTCACTTTACGTCAGCATTACGCGTGCCAAAGCCGAGCAAATCCATTAATCAGATCTGATAAGTTTCACTAGTTAAATAGCGTGAAGTTAATCTGGCCTGAAAGCCACTAAATACGCAGTCATGCGGATGAAGACTGGTGGGAGGTTGACTGGAAGCGGATTCAGGAAGCTATGCTCTCAGCTTACATAACTGCTCGTCGAAATAAGCATATTTTATTTCTATCGAAATGGCCATGCCGGAAGCTGACGACCAAGGTAGCACACGCAGACCATTCAAATACCAGTAATCAAGGGCTTAAAGAATGGCGGAAAACGCCGGCGGACTGTGAAGACTTGGGAAACAACCGCGTACTATTTCGGCTGATATGGTCAGCCACCCAAAAGCGGTCAAGGGTCAGAGTAACAAAGTGCGACAAAGACGGAACGTCAATTCACTCACAAAACGAGCAGTTCATCCACCCACCCTCAACATAGCCTTTAGAAGAACCAAGTGGGATGAATGGACCACCGACATCACCCTGCGCTCAGCAACAGAAACAGAACTATATATTATCCCCACAAATACAAAGCCTGAATGGTATACACTTCCCACTCTGCCAAATATGTCGTGCGGCCCTCGTGAGTGCTCTGGAAACAGAGTTGCGGAAGATCTGGAGCTTAAACAATGCTGGTGGAATGGATCATATCAAATGTTATCGCAGTATTCGGAAGGAACGTTAGAACGTCCCTTGAAAATCATTGTGACATGGTTATCGAAGCACCCTTTCTTCGTGGTTTGCGTGGACCGTTCTATGATCGGGAGATACAGGTTAGTGAGAATCAAGCTGCGTTCAATCCCGACCAAGGATTATTATACCATAGCTTGAACTTTGGCCAAAGTTTTGAGGTGTCACTATTTCAGTAATCTTACATTGTTCCTTTCAGCTCATTTGGAACATGCTTTTGACTTTTTCGATCGTTAGAAACGTTGACGATCAAGAGTGTCCTTTACAAATTCATATCCCCCATAAAGATACTATGTGTGAACCCCTGTGAGCGTATAAGGGCACAAAGCATGCTCTATCCCGAGTAATCACGTTCGGTGTTGAAAGAAAAGGATGCTCTCTCTCATCCTGTTAATGATGTGCAGAAATTTCTGTACCCTTTTCTGACACCTCGGTGGTAGAAATGCATTCGATCACAGACAATGAGTAAGTTCATCTTGGTTTTGATTATTCCAAAATCCAAGCCATTTTAAAAAACCAAACCAAACCTGCAGGACTATTTCGTTTTAGCCTCACGCCTACACATTGCTACGAGACCGGTTAGGGTCAAACCCAAACCTTATACATGAAGACGGACCAGTCGAAACGGAACGTCAACATGTTTGTCAAAATGGTTGCTTAAGTTCCGGTGGACTGGCTGAAGATGATATTAATTCTAAAATCAAGAGGACGATGGTGGTTTTCGTAAATCATGCGATCCATACTGGTTTATGAATTAGAAACATGGACTATGTGCGCAAAGTTTCAAAAATGTCAGTGTTTGACGACTGGCTGAATATTAATTCTAAAATCAAGAGGACGATGGTGGTTTTCGTAAATCATGCGATCCATACTGGTTTATGAATTAGAAACATGGACTATGTGCGCAAAGTTTCAAAAATGTCAGTGTTTGACGATCGGTGTCTCTGATGTGAACATGGAATTAACAATGCTGAGTTGTGCAAAATGGTTTTCGGAGGAAGAAACAACCCATGATTGATGAATAAGACAGGTTTCGTGGGTTACACAGCTAATGACAATTACTCCACATGCCAGAAGACTGTCTCACAAAGCTCTTTTCATCCAACCCTGTGCCGAGTGAAAGCGACCGATGCGCAGCTGCGCAGTTCCCAAACAAACTGAACATGTCACCGTCCGCAGCCCTAGGCGGTATTTTCCGTGATCTCCGGTGACCGAATCTATAGTAGTGGAAACAACGTACCCTTGCTAGGTAGTTCACATTATGTGCGTAGCAAATAGACCAAACTGAACTAAACTATCTCTATCATTCGAACTTTTGACGTTTTGTGAAAACACAACTCTAAAATAAATTGAAATTCACGTAATGAAACACAAAAAACTGAATGAGTCAGGAACTGTCAGCAGAAGTGGGACGAAACATTTAACCCGACTGTAAGCTAGCCGTAATAGGCTACGAAGTGGTGACATTTGCTCTTCCTAGTGGTGGCGTGGACATTTCCATGTCCTGCGTTTTATGGGGCTTGAAATCGTTAAATGTATCACAGTGTCGATTTGATCATTTCCCATCAGGTGTATTTTTGGCAGACATTACCTTCACTGGAATCGTGGATGTTCACCGATGACGTCTATATTAGAAACACTTGATACGAGATGCAGGCAGTTGTTCCACCAGTAAACTTCTACCTCGCTATGCTCTAACTTCCACACGGAAGCATATCTCCATCAAGGCTCCATTAAGATTATCTGAGCGATTAACCACCAAAGTCCGAGTTCAACTTCAGAGAGGGAAATCGGATAACGATTTGATAAGTGACTGTTGTTGATTGTAAGACGTATGTTTGCACATACATGGGGACAGTGAACCTGGTTCCGTTTGTTGTATTCTTATTTTATTATTCAAATTGAAACAGTAAATCCGACTATCCGCCTCTCACGGCCAAGTACAAACGGCTCATTTTTTATGTCTCTGAAGTAGTCACATTATTTGCGGACCCAAGCATTCTACCGAGCCGCTCTCGATGACATTAATGTTTCCTTTACTTTGACACTGTCTTCTCATTTTAATATCGAATCCACTTTTGATGGGTCCGTAGAATGCATATGAGCGAAAGCAACCAATCCACATAAAACTTGGGCATGAACCATGGACAAAGGTTCCGACTGGTAGATCTCGACAACCGAAAGATTAGTCAACTATAGGTCGACGTTATTGTTGTACATGTTTATCTTGTGCAGAGGACCGGTTTTTGCTGATTTGTGCAGTACATCCTTCACCGTGCCTCACTAAATGCTACCTAGACATTGTCCGCAGAAACATCCGGGCACCTGCGTTATTAGTGGCGTCAATGGTTAAGAAATTCCGAATTAAATGAAGAAAAAAAGACGTATCCTCCACCGACACTGACCGAATCTGTGAACAACTGAATGGTTTTCATGCAGTCGAAGTTCTATGGCAAAACCCGTCAATCCATTAAAATTTCAAGGTCCAATGTGAAGTTTAAACGGAGGAGCTTGATTGGCTCATATGACAAGAAAAAGTGCTGCATGCGGCAATAATGTGATGCTTCTTACTTTCAATCTCACTGACTTTATTAAAGCGCTGCTGACCACGATACTGTTAAGTAAAGTTTCATTGCAATATTTTGTAGTCTTTCTTACTGTACGTCCATTTGTATGGAGATCACCGGAGATGTCGCTCACGAAACCTTGTTCCATGATATATCTCAGCAAAAATCGATAGAAATTGAAAAGTATATTATATGCCAGTTTCACAGTAAACCACTCATGCCAGGCTGTCACATTACTAAAACTTAGTAGGTTTGTCGGTAGGTCACCAGCTCGATCTTATTAGTATGCATCATCCAAAAGTTAGAGAAGGAAGCATCCCGACTATATGCAAATTCTCGTCAGCATGAAGTAGAGCGGTTGTTCTCCGACCTTACATATCATTAAAGTGCGTACTGAGAAGACTGAAACTAAAACCGACCCCATTAGGGGTTGTCATGTGACAATCGTTTGCCCATTCTTAGACTATTAGGATTTTGAAATTAAGGCGTAGAAATTTACTTTTCAGCAGTCATGAAACAGCCCAAATATGCTAGGTGTCATTCAACACGTTGGCATTTTGCTCGTTTACCGGACCACACAAATGTTGGTCAACACTAAGTCGGACGCCTAAGTCGCCTAACTGCTTCAGAGAGCCAGATCAATAGGTTTGGTCAAATCGGATGAAGTCAAAACAGTATGAGAATTCTAGTGGATCGTATTATTCGCTATTTATCCATATTAACAAGAATAATGACGGCCATCAAAATTCCAAGCATATCACTGGTTTTCTTGTGCATTCAGTTTGTTTCAAGCCGATATTGTGAAGCCTTGGGAGAATTAAGAGTTAATTAAGATGAAGTCCATGCAGAACGGTTTAAAGAGTATGACCAGAGAACTGGGGTTATTAGACATGGTCAGAGATTGATTTGCTATGCAGTGATTATCCGGCCCTTCTCCCTATTTCTGGAGTAATAATGCTAATAGAGTTTTGGCATTGTCCTGGCTCCCGGACCTCAGCTCCTATTCCTTAATGAGAAAAACTAAGAAAAATTGTTCTTTTCCACTGATGACACTTAGGTCTTGTAAACTGACTCACTCACACAACTGGATCGGTTTGATTGTGATGGTTCTCTCATGTGTTGCTCTGAATTTCATTAAGATGGCTATTCAACATACACACACACTCACGTCAAAACAAATGCACCTAAATTGTGAGTCGTTTAGATTTTATGCAAATGGTACTTCCGTTTTGCTGACCAGGACAATTAGTGGATAGATTTCGCCTGCTGCATTTGCAGTCAAATTTAACAGAGTGGTTCCAGATGCGAGTGTGTTTGCATGCATGTTTCAACTACTAATTGACACGAACGGAGTAAGGAAACTAATGGAACTAGGAATTAATCTTATTAATTGTTTTTTTTCGCCAGATCCTTTACGAAATTCTTTGCATTCCTCATGTCTGTAAGTTGCTGAACGAATTAACTTTAGCGTGAAAAACTCCGAGTTAATAAACATGGCATAATATTGATGAAGTATTTAGCCCATTTCTGTTCCTATACGATCATTTAACGATATCAGGATCGAGAGAGGCATCATGCTTATTTGAATCGTGGTGTAATAATAATTTATGTACCAAGACACATCCAACAACCTATCCCTACGCCCTACTGCCCTCCATAGCTGCGCAGATTGGTGTCCCCTCGGATGAAGCAGTGCTTGATATCATGCTATCGAACTGTCTCATGATTATTTTCGGGCTCCATTCTGCTGCGATTTTAGTGGCCACCTGCAGGCTACACGGACACACCTCAGTCGGTCCATTATCATCCCATCGACCTCATCGTGACCGAAAGCGGGTCACCAGCCAGAACAGTGGAAACAACCACTGCAGGCTAACACACCTCAGTCGGTCCATTATCATCCCATCGACCTCATCGTGACCGAAAGCGGGTCACCAGCCAGAACAGTGGAAACAAAACAATAAAGAGGTATATATATATATATGTATATATATATATATATATAGAGTGAGAGAGGTATAGAGGTTGGGTGATAAATTGATGCGCTAATGTCTGATAACGTACCCCATGATGTCGCATACAAGGTGAAATCTCGCGCGGACTTCCTGGCCGAATCGGATTAATTTATAAGCGTTGTCACCGTCCTAACTCCTGGAGAACAGGATTCATCGATACGTATTCAGGCACCCCCTTCGATCCACATCAAGACAGCGGAAAGATTAGAACACCACCCAACGTTAACCAACCTCCAAGGAGAACGCTACTACTGTGCCAGTAAAACAAACAGACTCAGTACATTTGTGAAGCAATTGACCACAGGTGGTGATCGTTTGACAGACTTTGTTTGGCTGCCGTTGTTGGTGCAAGCCTTCTGACTCAAAAAACAGAAGAAATTCAGGATGAAAGTGGTCAACCCTAATTGGTCTCATTAGAGGCATTTGGAGGCACAGAGCGTGACGACCCGCCTGGGGGTGACGGAAACTACCCAGCTCAGCAACTTACCGGCATCATATTTTGTGGTCCCGAGCGCGATATCCGTCGTCGGGCTCCGCACTACTTGAGTGAATTCATGGACGACTTGCGTGCTTGGTGCTGTGCCAGATTCATTTGCCTCCACTTCGCCCATCTATCCCTGATCACTTTGAGTGGAAATGTTCAGTTCCGCACACACATAATCAGGACTACTCAAGCGATGAACTCCAGTGCTACTTCACACTACGTTTTACAAACGTAGAATACCAGGAAATAGTGGATGCTCTTTAACCACGAGGTTGAATGGCGTCCCCTTAAAACCTGCATTTCTAAAATAAAAATCATAAATATAGAGACAGCCGTTTTCCTTACACAACATGCTACTTCTAAGGTTGCTGGAAAATTTGCAGAATCATTTTCTTTCACTGGTTGGACATTTTTATTTTTTTAATGGCAACAACGGCTATCTTGAGTCACGCACCGCTGCTGACACTAATCCTGCAGAACCCACTAAGAAACAGAAGTATATTCGAATCTCCGGTAACATTCCCAAGGCACATATAACAGTTTTGCTGTACAGCCTATTGTCCATGTCACCTATCATGAATCCAGTTATATAACTTGATAGAACTGTACGTCTATGATCACTTAGGTGGCAAAATAAACAATATAATTCTATCATCCTCGGATGACAAAACAAAATGAAAATGATACTTACTTTGAAAAAAACGCTAACCGCCGCCAGCCCATTAGGATGGATGGAAGCCTGTGAGCTGTTTTTATACAACTCATTATTGTAAGCAAAAATCTGCAACTGAATGGTGTAGAAAAAGTAAACAATATTTAATGGAGGAAAGAGTCCCAATGCAGGTTGTTCCACTTGAGCCACTGAAAGAATGTTACAAGGTGAAATCTCGCGCGGACTTCCTGGCCGAATCGGATTAATTTATAAGCGTTGTCACCGTCCTAACTCCTGGAGAACAGGATTCATCGATACGTATTCAGGCACCCCCTTCGATCCACATCAAGACAGCGGAAAGATTAGAACACCACCCAACGTTAACCAACCTCCAAGGAGAACGCTACTACTGTGCCAGTAAAACAAACAGACTCAGTACATTTGTGAAGCAATTGACCACAGGTGGTGATCGTTTGACAGACTTTGTTTGGCTGCCGTTGTTGGTGCAAGCCTTCTGACTCAAAAAACAGAAGAAATTCAGGATGAAAGTGGTCAACCCTAATTGGTCTCATTAGAGGCATTTGGAGGCACAGAGCGTGACGACCCGCCTGGGGGTGACGGAAACTACCCAGCTCAGCAACTTACCGGCATCATATTTTGTGGTCCCGAGCGCGATATCCGTCGTCGGGCTCCGCACTACTTGAGTGAATTCATGGACGACTTGCGTGCTTGGTGCTGTGCCAGATTCATTTGCCTCCACTTCGCCCATCTATCCCTGATCACTTTGAGTGGAAATGTTCAGTTCCGCACACACATAATCAGGACTACTCAAGCGATGAACTCCAGTGCTACTTCACACTACGTTTTACAAACGTAGAATACCAGGAAATAGTGGATGCTCTTTAACCACGAGGTTGAATGGCGTCCCCTTAAAACCTGCATTTCTAAAATAAAAATCATAAATATAGAGACAGCCGTTTTCCTTACACAACATGCTACTTCTAAGGTTGCTGGAAAATTTGCAGAATCATTTTCTTTCACTGGTTGGACATTTTTATTTTTTTAATGGCAACAACGGCTATCTTGAGTCACGCACCGCTGCTGACACTAATCCTGCAGAACCCACTAAGAAACAGAAGTATATTCGAATCTCCGGTAACATTCCCAAGGCACATATAACAGTTTTGCTGTACAGCCTATTGTCCATGTCACCTATCATGAATCCAGTTATATAACTTGATAGAACTGTACGTCTATGATCACTTAGGTGGCAAAATAAACAATATAATTCTATCATCCTCGGATGACAAAACAAAATGAAAATGATACTTACTTTGAAAAAAACGCTAACCGCCGCCAGCCCATTAGGATGGATGGAAGCCTGTGAGCTGTTTTTATACAACTCATTATTGTAAGCAAAAATCTGCAACTGAATGGTGTAGAAAAAGTAAACAATATTTAATGGAGGAAAGAGTCCCAATGCAGGTTGTTCCACTTGAGCCACTGAAAGAATGTGGTCTTGACTAAAAAACCACCTTTCACCATATCTTTGTAATGTACTACTCATAAGGTTGCTGAAAATCCATCGAACACCTTATGAGTAGTATATTACAAAGATATACATGTATCGCGATATTTCAAATATCGTAGCGACTGGAACACGAGGCGGCATGGTGCAGCACATTCAGTTGCCTGAGAACATCATAAACGAAAGATTCAGCTGGGTTCCAGATGAGTCTCTCGAAAGGACCAAATTGGTTTGCGAATGAGTGTATATTCACTTTTCACCATGTTATTTCCAATTGGATGTATTTACTTTAACGTAATCCCATCCTCAGATAGAGAATGGAAGTTTCTTCATTCACTGCGAAGAACAACTGGGTTGTTTGCAATGCGGTAGAAGCTGAACTGGCACTTGCGTACTTTCCCATGAGGGAGGAGAAAATAGTTTTTAATATCTGTCGGTTGAATGTGTGCAAAGATCGCCTAGTGTTTATGTTAACACAATCATTAAAATATCACAGTATTTTGTCCAGACAGAGCATATTACCTATGACGTGGTTGAAAGAGCTCCAACACCCTACGATCGGTTTAACCTTTTTTCAAGCCAGTTAGCTAGGTGCTGCCCCGGTGTATCCCTCATTCTTATTTTTCACCTCAATAAACCAGAGGCGAAAATAAATGTATTTTTAGAGCTTTTCTCAAATGAGGTTGACGGAAACTCGAGGAATGTGACCACTTGACGAGTCGCACAGAGAGCAAGGCGGATCGTGGTTTGTTATAGGGTTTTCACCAAACTTATGGTTAGTGTCCCATCAAAAAGCCGTGTCCTTAATTTCGTATTGAGTCTGAGTTCGATTTAAAGTAAAACCACTGAGTGGCACAGTCGAAACTTCCGTATAGTTCCCATCTTCTTACTTCGACATCCCCGACGAAATCTTGTGCGCACACGCTGCGCTATTCAGTCCGAGAACGGTTTGACGGCGCAATAATCGTAGTCGAACAGTTTATGCAGATTTGTGGGTCCGTGCTGTAGAATTGTCTGTGAGCGAATGACCCAAACGTCATGCACATAATTTTTTTGGAAAAAAGCGTTCAATCCACTTGATCTAAACTTCAAACTTTGCCCAGTTGCTCCCTACAAATGGTACTCCCAACCTTGTAATAATCAAGTCTGGTTAAAGAACGCCTTTGTGTGGGTGGCCTCATTCGGCCTTTTTAACAAAATGTTGAACGTCGTTTGACCCGTTGGTTATTTGAGCAGTTCTATTTCAACTGGCTAGTCAACAATCTAGACTAAGTAGAATTTTAAGGGATATCACTCTTTCTGCCTTACGTGGCACTTCCGAGATGCATGGTATTTTTACTGGTTTTTTTATTGAGTTACCTGGTGTATCAATCGCAAGTAAAATTATTTTGCTGGATGATTGTTGGATGGGGAATATGCTTCTTTCTTGGAAGTATGTTTCTGCAATATGATTCTCAGGTTGTAAGAACCCAGACTCAATCTTTTGAGAGGCAAGATTAAGGCTTGATCAAATTAGCGTTGATGCTTTCCTGATTACACTGTAAAATGTTTGATGGGTATCCTCACACAGACAGAATTTTTGATGCCAAGAATACGACTCATAGGTGGAAAAGATTTGCGTGCCATTATAAAAATCTCAGTAGCTTACAAAAGAGTGACTTCCAATGGAGAACTTCAATTCCTTTTTGTGACTGCCAGAACGTCCATTTTCTTGCCCACCATCGGTTTAGTTTGATGGTGATTGGCCCTTTCCGCTTAGCGCACTTCACTATAAATATGTGTGCATGCGTAACAAGGGCATAGTGTGGGTAATATGGTTGAACATGTTTCCTCATCAGTCAGCAGTCTCCGTAATCGCACTATACATATTTTTACCTCAAAGAATGCAGTTTAAAGGGAACATCATTTGTGAGATTTATCTTGATTTTGTTCAATGGCTGAGGCAAATACCCTTATCTGGTTTAGATAGTCTAGCTTTGAGTAGCATGCTTAAAAGTGGTCTGATTGCGTGTTTTGAAACACAGAACGACACCCGCAGCTGAAACACATCCCGTTTCTTTGACTGCTCATGGGAATGGGGATTTCATCTAACAGAAGGTGTCTGCGAACTTTTAGTTAACTATAACCTGTATTTATAGGTTGATCAGATACGCCAACTTTTCATACCTCTCCTGGTGAAGAACGCCCATCGATTCTGTGATCAGATCCTTTGGAAGACGCTGAACCGAATTTGATACGGGCAGAAAAGATCTGGTAATAATAGGACAGGGGACCTCCGGTGAGAAAGACTTGATTTGACAAGAATGAAAGTTGAAGGTCCTGACCCACATTCTGGACGATGAATTCTAACTACAAAGGAAGGAAACGGTAAGAATTCTATAAACTCAGTAAAGATTGCACTCTGAATCCTCTTGAAAGCTCACCTTTTCTGAAGACTATAGGATCCGGATATTCGGGAACTACACAAATCCCCTAGGTAGGTTACCTGCAAAAAGAACTTAGTTTCAGCCCTCGGTCAGGGAAATACGAGTACTTCTGCTTACTCTGCAGAGGAATTTGACATCTAAATCGTGGACCAAAAGAGCATCTTTAGACGCTTCAGTGTTGAGCATAATGTGGCCATGCAGCCAGTAAGATGGCGTACTCGTACTCTTCATATAGCAACTATGAAGAGGATTCAAATTTGCGCCATTCTAAAGAAAGTGGTGACCGAGGATCTCAGAGAAGGCAGTGTGCCCACTTATGCATATTCTTTCTTGATTGAGCGCGTCTTTTAGAGGAAGCATTCATCATCTTTGTCCTCGAAAACCATCCAGTCTGTGACAGTTCTGTATTTGGTAACTTCTGAGGAATATGTTAGCAAACACCTGTATTCAACACTTCATATAATTGATCGTAAGAGTTATGATATTTTGCTTTGAAGCAGGTGGTATTTGAGCTCTTCGTCCAATTGGCTTTCACTGGCATTCACAATTTTCCTCCCCAGATGAGGCACGCTTTGGTGGTTGATGATATCCCATCGTGTGGCGATATAGATTTTCCAGACCGACTTCTAATTTCCTTCAATAGGTCAACTAGCTTTTAATCAACAGCTAATAAATTGTCTCGAGTTAGCAGTTGTTCGGCATATGACCATGCACACGTTTCACATAGTTCAGGCCTCAAACGTGATAGATTAATATCCACCACAATGACCCATTTGCTTTCAGATTAGAATGACTCAAAACCTAACGAAAGATTCAATTAATGGGTTCCAATTCCCTGTTTTGTCCTATAAAAGGGAAATCCTAAGCCTTTGGTATACGTATTTCCTTTACTGCACTGTTAATTCCCTGAGTCACAATGTGTCCCTGAATTTCAGAACACAAATGAAATCCGCTGTGAGATACAAATAAGATCTCACCTGTTCATCACTCCCGATTATTCTGAATGTTTTCAACGTGTGATCAAAGAGCAGTCGTTCAGTTTGTATGTCAATTGGCGATTGCTGGTGCCCAATTTGGCACAGGGGCCATACTGGTTTATTGGTAGTCGCTGATAATATAGTGCCCCAGGTTTCCGGTCCTGAGGAACAAACAGAGAAGTTGGTAATATTTATGAAAGAAATCAAGACAATATCGAACATACTGCCGCTCCACAAAACCTGACCCGTTGTATGAATGGAATTCGTACAAAAAACACTATAATGAACGAGATATCTGGCGATCGAAGCAGCTCATCTACATTCTTGGTAACATGTTCATTTCTTATGAAGGCTCATGAATCATTTCGACATCGCCAATCACGTCTGTCACGAAATACGTTATCAGTAACAGGACACTCTAAATACCGGACCATTATAAATATTTATTTACTAAATTTAGCCATATTGCTGCCTATATCCCCAAAGAATTTCGGAATAAAAGGAGCAGCTAGAGACTCAATACACTACTCATAAGGTTTACGAAAGTTCTTCGACAGACCACGACCGGGTTCGCCTTCTTGGTGCTTATACACGAGGGATTCAGCTAGGTTCCAGGTGGTTCTGTCGCAAAACCAAATTCGTTTGCAAATGAGCGCATTTCGCTAAGGAGCACGTATACTGTAAATCATTGTAAACTGCCTCAAGGGTATTCACGTGTGGGAAAGGACAGAAACCACTCCCCTAGGTTGGTATATGTTACGTCTGATGAGGCCTTTGCCGGCTTTTTTATACATACTTTATCTGGTATTAAAATATTCTGCCTCAAATCTGGATGTGAACGCAGACCAGATCGTTCTCAAGTCTACGGCTATAAATATTATAACAGTGGTGTTCGGTTGTACTAGCTCACCAAAGCGCATCACCATCATCGCTGTCAATAAAATTGTGAGCTCCGCAATCTTCCCAACAGCTTTTATGGTCAGCCTATTTAATCGGAAACTTTGGGTGGAATGAAGGCCTCCTGCTATCATGAGTGGACTACCAATACTCAAGCCTTGAAAAAAAGTACGAACAACACTAATCTTTCTTTAAATTATCCTTATGATGCTTTTCGCCCCAACACCTTATACTCATTTTCTTTCTCAGATGATGTGCTCATGCTTCCGGTTTGACTATGATCCTTATTCTGTCAAATGATTCACAACGATTTCCGTTTGCAGGAGAGCGTTTTTTACCTTGCCTACCCGTGTGTGCAATAAGTTATGTAGGGGGCATTAAAATCTGCTGGATGACGGAAGACTCTAAAATGAACTCTTCAGAACCTATCCATCAAGAAGCGGATTCAGGGGATTTTCAATAAATATTAGGTCTAACTCAAAGTGAAAATGTTTCCTCAGTTATTCGGGAAGCGAGAGAGCATCCATGGCTTGCCACAGCATATCCGTTTAGCTTCAAGTTCAAAGGCAGTGACCAAACTCTTTGACTGGATTGTTCAGCAGCACTACTAACCGGTGCATGTTTTTAAACAAAAGTCACCTGTTCCTGTCTTCCACTTATGCCGGAAGTGACTGTGCTGCGGGGAACTTCAAAGCTTTTTCTTGCCATATCGTTTATAGTTTGCTTCAAAGCCCTCCGAATCAAAATTTATACTTCTAAGGACAAAAGTAATAGGATGAAACTTTCGAGCGGATGGCGAGGCATTTTTTAAACTCATTGCTCCCTAGACAGTTTTCGTTTCAAACCCCAAGCGCACAGCCATTGAATTTACGTACAGAACACCATCCCGTTCTTGCAAACTCAGAGCCACAGCATCCTTCAGAACTAGGCGCGCTTTTCGCGGCAGAACTGTGGACACAAACGAAGCACACTGTGACTGGATATAACAGGTGCATTGTCGACCAGTTCTGGCACACTAGTCTTTCTGTGGTACATGCGTTTGTGCAGTATCCCTCAATTTGGTGGCTCAAGCCTCAAAATACAATTCACAAGGACCTAAAATAATTGTAAGTTCCATCCAGTTGACCAATCTCCAGGCAGAATTAGCAACATTTGTGATCGCCCAGCAATAAATATGTTATTGTATAAGTGGGAAGACATAAGAGTGTTTCGAATAGTTGCGGGTTAACCGCTGGGTTCCGCCTAATCATTCTAGTCATTTGAAACGCGTGACCTTTTGCCATAGGAATCATAAACGTTCTTCATTTAGGGTCTTAACAAAACACTACGAAGGAAGCATACAACTAATTTTCAGAATCTGCGTGACAGTGGAAATAAGCCACTCGGAAAGGGAACGCCAGGAATCTGATCAAGTGTATCTTTATTGTTCGCTATGCAAAACCTCGTGCGCTGAATATCTTCAGGCATGTGATCCCAAATACTTGGTTCTCGACCTATTCGTAAACGGGCAACTAAACGGTAAAATGTGCGCGCTATGCTTTGTGGAATCTGATGTTAGGAAACCTTCATGAGGATAGACTGGCCTATCTGTTCCCGAGCATCATTTATAGCAACTTGTGGATAACAAGTTTTGTATAAATCGGAGCCATTTGGTGCAGATTGTTTGTCAAATGAGGGGTATTCTTTCCACCGTGGCTTTATGGCTTAAGCTCCCCAGTACATCAGTGGTTCAAAAACGTCATGCGCATCCTCTCTAAGACGTTGTTGCTGGTAGTGACATTTAACTGGTTATCGTATGCTGACCAATTACGCTAATCAACGAAACTCGTTGCTAGTTGGCTCCGTAATATATATATATATATATATATATATATAGTCGTACATACATAGTCGTAATCTTCATCCGTATATTTTACCACGTGAAATGAAATCATTAAAACCGTAGTTTGGATGTTCATTATCCTTTTGAGTCTGTAGACTGACTCCACTTTCTAACAAAATTTGACAGATATTTCGACCGGTAAACATTGAATAAGTAGATGCGCTCTGGGCCGTATGAACAAGTTGCGATATTCCAAACAGTTTGCCACTCTAAACATTTGAAACAAATGCAAAGAAGCATTACTTCCATCCACTCAAACTTAAAACAAGTGATCATTAATATACAACGTGCATTTCATGTAGAAACTAGCATAGCCAACATCTCTTCGTACTGATATACTCAGCAATTTTTGCAATAAATATCCATGGATCATTTAAAGTGTCTTCCAGTACTTTTGCTGTGCTGATCAGGTGCATATCAGATAGGTTCGGATGAATAGGATTGCGACACGTCAGATGATAGCATGATACTACATAAGGGCAAACAACAATTAAGATGATATGCCAGCCTCTTGCTGATCATATGCGAATTAGTTCCTCCGCAGAACACATGGGCAAGGCGGTACTCTAGCTATGCGGTGAATGTGGCAACACTGTGATAAGACCAATCCGCTATTCGATGATGGACATCGTCTTGCTGGTGAAGGACCTGAGTCACATGTGGCATTTCTCATTTGTGACAGGTTGATTTTCATTGTACCACCAGCGTTCAATACAGCGTTGAACAGATACACACTGAATGTATCACAGGTTGTGTTCAGTTGCTTGGTTGCACATTGAGCGATGAAGTCACGGAATTGCTGACAAGTGCGAACAAAAAATACAAGATTTGGTAGGTCAGACAAATTGTACATGCCGTTATACTGGTATTGCGATGTCCAGTATTCAAGTTTACTGACTGATCATCATTGTGTTGTTCATCATGAAATAAGCGCGCTTGAAATTTTTGAGATTTTTTATCTCCCTTTATGTATATTATTAAAACGGCTACTTTCGAATTCCTCCGTGGAGTAAAAATTAAATTAGGCCATCTAAATATAAGTGTTCATGTCTATGCAATTCAGCCATTTGGTCAAACGTATTCCTGTGACTTCCGCTATCCTAATTCGTTAAGGTCATCAAATGTCTGCGGATTAGGGAGCATTCTTTTATATTCATTACTTTGGTTTCACAGTACAATCCGTTCTGTTTACGGTATACTTCCCCCCAAAGGTTACTCTAGCATTCTTTTACTCGTACGCTGTCAGGGACAGCTTTCTTCTTGTATGTCTTGCTGTATCTTCGTTCTCCTTATATCCCTCATCCATAAGCACAGTTAATTTGCCGGAGTCACTACACCGGACCTGAGCGTGAAAAAACAGCTTCCAGGCCTTATTTCTTCTCACCATCCGTCTTTTAGTTTTAGTCGATGAACTTGAGTGCTGGAAATTGTTATTCAACTAGGTTACAATGGTGAGACAGAGACAAGATCTAACCAAATGCTCAAAGCACTCTAGCCAAACTTGTGGTAGATCCATTGCCGTTTTCCAAATGTCTTCAGCATTGGACGAAAGTTAATTCTAGCAAATTACTAAAGAAAAAGTCAAAACTGGAGAAAAAGACTCCCAAAAGGGACGATGAACTAAATGCCCAAGAGCACTTATCGAATAGTAAGCATAGGAAAAAATGCGGAGGGTCGCTTCGGAAAACCAAACATTCTGTAGGTGCATCTGTATATAAGAGTGATGACATACATGCCTTGTTTCAACCATAGAAAAAGATTCGTAGATGTAATTCAATGCCCTAGTGTGTCAAGTGAAGCCCACACTGTTCTTTTCTAATTTTTAAAGCCTCAAACCAACGTGCCAATGGTTAAATTTCCCTTCCTGCAAGAGATTCAGAGTGTTGTTCTGTACAAATCTGTTGTGTTTAGGTGACTGAACCTGGAACATTTCAGTCAATATTTTATAGCAAGACGACGATACCTTACTTATTTTGACTATTCTTTTGTAATTACTGCAGCTTTCCATTTGCAGCTAGTCGAGAATTCGTGTCAAAATGACGGAACTAACACTGTCAGCAATAAGCATTCGTTGTGTGGACAAAGCATAATTTGAAGACGATTAGTTAGCTTTTTACAATGTGCATAGATTAACACTGGAAAGTAAAGGAACGTGCGACCAGTTGAATCTGTATAAATGGGATTCTTTAGAGTGAGCATACCTCGGTCAATAAATTTTCTTGCCCTAATCAACCTGCACTAATGATAAATTCAAATGCGAAACGAATCATGGAGATATGTGTAATCGATTTTCCCCACATCTAGTTGTACGACTGGAGGCCGCTAACTCAATGTTTGCTTGCTGCTGCTTACCATCCATCACACATTTTGTCTGGTATTTCATTGTCAAGCTGACATGCTTGCATACTCACAGTGACACACTATGGCATCCACCATCTGAGTTCTCTAGAGTCTTGCGGATGTAAGCAAAAAAATCAATACGTTCCTGAAGCATTCAGCTGACCGAAAACCGTCTTTAGTGTGCAGCAAACGTACTCGGAGCAATGTAAGTCCAACGCGGCGTCCGGTTTATCCGCAGTTTTAACCGTCCAAACGTTAACTTATAAGAACATGAACGACGGTTTGTTGGTGGAAACGCATATCCATGATATCCATGTGACATTTGTATCAGGCACCAAATTAACAAGGTTGCCAAACCTGTTCAATTTTAATATAGGGAGCGAAGAGCCTAATGTATGCTTATTACAGGCAACTGGCTACTACAGTGGACATAAGCTTTGCGCTCTTGAGGACACAAGTGTTTTCAATGAGCTTCGAGGTTCGGTCTGACTTCAGCTTTATCTCACATTCCCAATCCGATTTAAATGTTTCATGTCGGATGATGGTAGAACAAGTTCGAGCTCACTACGCCACTAAGCTCCATCCTCTTGAATCCTTGTTTCAAATAATACTGTTAGAAATATGCGCAAGAACCTACCGGGTAATTTTACAAATAACAGACTCACAAAGCATGCGGTTCGCGCTGAATATAGATATAAAGCTCATAATGATGGCCTGACGCATATTCACATTTATATCAGCCGGTGGTCTTTATACCGACACGCAATATAAGGACTGCGGTTGTATTGTGGACAACAGAGTGTCTAAATTAAGCCGTATTTTTGTAAAATCACTTGCTTGGCAAAAAAGGAGAGAAAAGTGTCCTCCAAATTTTGGCTTGTAGGACGTTTTTTATATCTTCTGGAAACAGAGGGAAACAGCTGAGTAAATATCGATCAAACAGAAATGTTTGGGACAACAAGAAGCCGCTCAGGCACAAATGTGGTCCCCTTCTATTTAGAGGAAATGAACAAGTTGGAATGCACACTAAACCTCTGTGAAATCGGGATGAAGTCCTTCAAATACTTTGAAGAACGTTTTTTGTGTGGGCCTAATTAATTTTTGTTCAACTATCAATACGAGTTCTCGAACTTGAGTAATTTAATCCCATTGATAGTGGAAACGGGTCCACCATTTCAGGTATTGGTCAATGCGTGTAGGCAGCTGCGCTCACTTCAATGCATACTTGTGAAAATTGAGCAGCAACTCAATCAATCGACAGTGCTTATTGCACAAAATGTTCTTCCGAGACATTCTTTTGTGTCATGAGCAATTGTTTCTGTCGGAGAGATTCGACAACTATGTGGTGTAATGGTGCAGCCGCTGATCAACCATAATGTCCTAAACATCTTCGATGAACTCAGTTGTGCGCATAACTTAGGGATCATATGGCCTTTGTCGAATGAATGGAGTTTTTTCTGACGTCCATTGTTCACAAGCAAAAGAGGGTTTTTCAGAAGAACCAAACTTGGTTACCACTAAGGCTAACTCAATATTGTTCAAATCATTAACACCCATTTACGCATTGTTTAAAAAGTAGAAAAGCATTTCAAGAACACAATTACGAATAATTACAAAATGAAAATTTCTGCACTGTCTTTGAGAACATAGTTGTAAGGACTCTAGAGAGTACGTAATTTGGGGCCAACAATCTGTCACCAACTCATTCCAACTGGCATTTTCGCAGATCTATCTGGCCAGTTTCAATATGAAAAAAAGGTTTTTAGCTCACCAAAGTACCGAATGGGCGGCTTCAATTAATAAGTAACATCACAGTGCAGAGCTCCCATTTATTCACCTATCTTTTCCTGCCAAGTGGTTTTCGACTTATGTTGCTTTAGAACTACAATGTGCGGTTTCGAACAAAAGCCACAGATAGTATTATGACCATCATCATATAAGCAGCGAAACCAAGGAAAAATATAACTTATTTCTTGTCATACTTCATGCAGGTAGTCGTGTGATAGTGTAAGATACAAAAGTTTTTCAGTGTTCCTTCTATTTAGATGTCAAACTCGAGCTTCACAATTGGGCGGTCATATTCTATTGCTGTCAAACGGTCGAATACCCCGTTGAATCCTAGATTTCGCTGTCACTGTTTCTCCGTGTGCCAAAACTATATTTCGATTGACTTATTTTACGCCGACTCTTAGTGAAATTAATGGGTCAAGAGTTTGGTGCTTATGACGGTGCCTGAAATTCGGGCACCAGACCAAGCCAGACGCGTATAAAAGCCACTACGATTTGTTAATTGATGATGAACCTGAAATACAGTCTAAAATAGCCACAAAAATTGGCAAATTTTCGGGTCGGTTTGCTTTGTTCGGATACTTACGAGATGGAGTTTTATCAAAAAACTTCAACTTTCCATCGCACACATCCTCCGCCAATCATTAAAAACAAACTTTGCATTTTTCTGTAAGATCTGTCAACTACTTTCTACTTGAACGGCTTGCATTTTCCACTGAGAAATATTGTGAATCACTACATAACCAATCGAGTGGGTTCATTCATGGCCTCAAATATAATTCTGATTTCCTAATGCGTCCGAAAACAATTTTTAGAAGAAACCAAAATGTGGACCCAAACACGCATTAGGCAACTCATTAAAATCCCGCCAGCCAATTGAGTAATAGTCATTTGTAAATTCATTCTGTCCAATCACTTTTAGTTTTTGTTGAATAGTCTCACAAATACGGCAAAATGGGTTTGAAATGCCGCTGAAATTCATTTTCGCCACTCGGTCAAATCACTAAACATTATAAATCGTTATCGTGGGAAGCCGTAAGACGGGTGGGATGGACAAAACAGGCCACAAAACATTTTTATCGGTAACTAGCAGAGGAGAATATGAAATAGAAAAGAGGTTTGGTGAGCTATTGTCAAAATGCGCCTTTTACTTATTGCTCAGGAATGCCACATCAGAGGGTAACTTCCAACAACAGAAGAAGCTGAGATGGAAACCNCAGGAATTCCACATCAGAGGGTAACTTCCAACAACAGAAGAAAGCTGAGATGAAACCTAGAAAAATAAAAAGCCACTGAGAGCGACACAATTGCCTAAGGTGGTCACTAAAGGGCGTTCAAGACAATGGACCCAGTGCATTGAATCTTCAAGAAAAATTAGGTATTCAATAATGATTTGCTGAATTAACATGAAATTTTGGTGCATCCATATTATGTCCAAGAACATTTAGCTATTCAAACTTCGACTACGCGAGTATCCACAGCACGCATATGGTTATCTCGGCTGGAAGTTCCTCAGGAAGCTTCCGCCAAAAATGTTAAGCAACCATGTGGGAACAACGCTGTTCCATTCTGTAAACAAGTATAGCTTAAAGATTACAAATCATTAGAAGCGATGCCACCATATGACATGAGGCCAGCCGATAAACAGTATATCACGCGAATCCTTTCAAAAATGCATACGTAAAATTATTGTGAATGCATAGCCATAAAATATCGATCATGGCGTAAAGATTTGGGGGAGAACAACCAGCATATTAACACTGTTTTGCTCTCCATCTTCTGTGGTTTAGAAACTTGAAATAAACACCATTAGCATGAAACACCGATTAGTTTTCAGAAGGATCAAATTTAAATTCCCCCACAGTTTACGCTAATTATCCACGTTGCGCTATTACAAAGAGGCTGATTCCTAACTGTTTTAGCTCACCCTCGTCACTTACAGATTTCATTTAGCCAGCAGCATCTTCCTTAGGATTCAGTGGTGGAAGTGAGGTGCTGGGGACGTCCACCGCTTCCAGCTACCTACGCCATCCCAAGATAGTTGTCGATGTGATTTAGTTGGACTCTACTATGTGTATAACCTCAGCAGGTACACCTAATCTACAAGCAAGCCGTAAGAACAAATGAACCAAACGGAACCTATCCTAGCGAATATACAGTCACTTACAAACTAATTTGTTTTCTCGAGAACCTGGAACCCAGCTCATTCTCTCGTTTGTGATGTTCTCAGGCAACTGAATGTGCTGCATCAGGACGCCTCATGTTTCAGTCGCTACGATATTCGAGATATCGCGATACATGTATCTTTTTAATGCACTACTCATAAGGTTACTGAAAATCCGTCGACAGCTCACGAACCGTTTCGTCCCTTTTAGGGCTCATCAGGTAGGCACAGTCCTACTGAGAACATCACAAACGAGAGATTAAGCTGAATTCCAGGTGAGTCTCTCGAAAAAAAAAACAAATTAGTTTGCAAATGAGTGTGTGTTTGCTAATTTCGTGCAATTTGGTTTCAAGTAGAACATAGGGTTGACGGAAACCCGGGGAGTGCGCCTACATGATGAGCCACAAATAGGGCGAAACCGGTCATGGGCTGTCGACGGATTTTCAGCAACCTGATGAGTAGTACATTACAAAGGACCCTATCCTAGTTTAGACCAAAATTTCGTAGATGCCGCTATACTGAAAGCCAGTAAGTATAGCATTTACCCGCTTTCTGGCTTGGCCAGCTTCGGTTGTAAAGAATCTCTTTCGAACGTGCTTCAAACCTGGGCTTGAAGATCTTGTTCGATGGCGAATACAGGACATTCCGCGCGCGTTTTATAAACCCTTGGCTTTGCGTTCACCGCAACTTTGAAATGTGAAAAATGAACTTGATGGAAATTCACCGTCATCCGTTAGTCCTAATAAACAAAATCCCGCTCATGTAGTCCCTCTTGTGTGGGCATACTGTTTTTGAAGACGTCGATACCTTAGTAACATAAAGTCAGGCTGGTTTTCCAGTTGAACTTGGTGGTTTGGTGCAAACGCCGCAATCCCCATTATGTTACCGGTGCACCATTGTAAATTGGAGCATGGCATTCCGACACCGGATGACAGACCACCCCGGGCTCACAGCTGGACCGCTTTTACACAGACACCATATAATACAAGGAATATATGCACGCACAGTTTTCCAAACAAGACTGACATGACTCAACCACTTCGTTACGTTTCCACTTGTTGAATAGCTAAATCAATCAAAAAGTTTCAAATGAAGCTAATCTAATCTGCTTAGTCCCAAGAACTCAAGAGGCAATAACGTGCACCCACACGTAAACTGATTTCCAGTCCAGCTAGGTACGCCTCACAGTGCTCAAATGAAAGTTTATTTCATGTCACTTCGTTTGACGGCAGAAAGGCTGTATTGCGGCATCAAGTTCACCATTTTCTTAAGTTCTGAGCAAAAGTATAATTATTGTGTCAGTGAAATAATATACTGGACAATAATCAGGCGAAAACCGGTTGGGCGTATGTTAGCCATTCTTGAGTCCTTGATATTGCCGTCGGAAAATAACATGGCTTTCCACAAGATATTCACGTTGCTAAGAACAAAAATATCTACTGCCTACTCACTAGGATAAAGCATAAGCGATGATAGCAAGCTTGAAGAAAATAGCAAGTACCAGAATGAAACTTTATCAGTAGAAATAAATTGGGCTTATTTGACGAAACATTCAACAATGCGATAAATATCAATATCATCTACCAAACTGAAATCTTTCAATCATGGTTTGTAGGAAAATCAACGTAAAAATTAAAACATTCTTATATGTTTGATGAACTAAAATAAAATTATTGATGAGCGATGAGAGCGTCCTACAAATTTGTCCCCATGAAGAAATCACGGTACAAGTTTTGCATCGGTTTGGCACCCAACATCAGCAAAAGTGCAGTAAGGAATACCCGTAATGGGCACAACAGTGATGAGCGCAACAGTTCCGGAAGAAATATTTCATTATCATAGACCTACAGTGATTTTCATCCATTAATAAAACCCATGTCCAAAAAATATACTCATGTTTGTCGCATGCATTTTACAAGTGCTCCCGTTAGAAGATACATTGCGAAAATGAACACAAAACTGGGGCGGATTACAGCCGTGCAGCCCAAAGGCTAATGATTAGTGAAAAATTCTCCCTCGTGGAGGGAAAGTGTCCTCTTTTTAAAAACCTGTCAGCGGAAACTTATTGAGAGAAGATCAAGTCTGATCAGTCCGTAGCAGTGGTATTTTTAGCTGGTTGAACTTTAGGTTAGCAAAGACAAGTGGGGAATACTCAACCTTGTCCACAGACCCAGAATATTCTCTGCCTTGAAGTCGATGTATACTGAATAACAAAAGGGTTCAGACCCCAGCAAAACTGTACGAATTAAACACTTTATCTGACACGAATGGGTTCACTTCACATATTCACTAATTCTATATCCTGAGACTTCCTACCATAGTGTCACTACTGGTATGCTGTTGATCAGACGACTGCCATTTAGTGAACAGGCATTCCGATTATTTACCACACGTGAGTTTCCTAAAGTTGCCTGACTGACATTGCATCCCCAGCATTGAGCCAAAAACAGCTGACTATGGGAGTGAACATTTCGTCATCGATTTGCAATCGTCGCGCAACCAGCACTCAGGACACGGAAAGTGAAGAACTAATAAGACCACTTTAGCAGACTACGTTAGACACTCGTGAAATTTGAAGTTTACAAAAGCGAAAGTGTTCATGCTCACGTGTTGTGGTTGGCTTGCCCGGTGAGTCAATCTACGATCCAGTATCTCTCCTAGTTGCGCCGACTGATTAGCCCTTTTGCCAGGACGTCCGAAACACGCCACCATCAGAGTGAATTGCTCTTTGTCCGCTTTTAAAAAGTCAATTATGCTTTATTCGTTCATTAATAGCTACTTCCTAGAGTCGGGAGGTTAGATTTTATGACAGTCGGATTCATACTGATTTCGCTTAAATGCGATAATGTCCTTGCTGGTCAGATTTTCTGGTGGAACAGGGAGCACTGACTAGATGGCAGGAATCAGTTCACTCAACATCAATGATATTTTTACTTTTACAACTTGGCTGCTAATAAATTTTCTGTCAAGTGCTGGTTGTTCAAACTTTGGATGTCACTATAGCAAGTATATATCTTGAAATGGCAAATTTTCAAAAATCCATTCATGCAAACCCAACGCTGCTTTATCATTCGCCTTCATTGTAAAAAATTTGAATCCATGAGCATTCGAAGTGCTGACACTGATTCACAAATCACACTCGGACAGGATGATGACAAGCCAATCGCGATACAAATTCTGTTACCATTGAAGTTGATCCAAGATATACTAGTGAAAGGAAGAAGGCCTTCGCTGAGGAGCTATTTATCGGAGAACACCAACTGAACAATTAAAGTCTATTAGAGAGGGAAACAAAGCTCTCATATGCATCTTGTTCATAAAAACTGGGTATCTGCTTTCTCCTCGAACGCGTATTCCTGAACTTTACTGGATAATCATTTACTATCACTCAAATCCAAACAAATGCTACAAACTGATTCCACGAAGTCCCTGATAAATCCAACTTTTTAAGAGACGTGATGCTGATTTACGAGAAAACATGCTGCTCGCATGCCTCGTCAGTAGTATTTACCGTTACACTCGTGGTTTTACCTAAATTATTTAAATATTGGTACATTTAATCGGTAGACGTGACTCGAAAAGCAAAATGTCTACTTGAAAGTATCGACCCTATATGCGGCAATTACATATCCAGATATTCTCAGGGTGAGTTTCTTGAGAATTCTCATAATGGTCAATTGGAAAATACTTATTGACTGCAGTGCTCACTTCAGGTGAGTGAGCTACAAAGTGAAAATCAACCACTCAAATGTACATCCCCCATCTCATCCGTTATCCTAAAAGCTTTCGTCATATTCCTCAGTAATGGGTTGTACTAGAAGTCTTGTTTGGACTTGTTTCCTTCTGTTGATAACTGTGTATAACCTGAAGTGACCAAAAAACTTATGCTCCTGTAGAACAGGAAGCCCGTAAATAGGTGAAACCTTTGTGGCTCACTGCGTAAAAAGGCACTTCAGAACTCCTATTTGGCCTTACAATTACTCCATACATGGTCTGTGAATACGGCGCTTGAAGTAAAACGGCTTTACCGGTTCTACCTTCAAGGTGATTTTGTTTTATTTGACGTCCTAAAGCATAAAAAATGTAACTAGCATCACCAAAAAATACAAGCCAGATCTGAAAAAAAATGAAAATAAAAGACAACCGTATTTCGGGCAGCTAAATTACATTTACTCAGTCGTGATTGAAAATTATTTTAAAATGTAGTATGTATGTTTGTATGAAAAATGTCGATTTGGGATCACTAAAATACTGGGCGGCATTGGAATCCTGAACAACCGAAACCGCAATCATCATATAATAGTATGACGGACAAATAAAGGATATCACAAACAAGAGATTCAGCTGAGCTTTGATCAGGTATCACCTAAAATCAAACTGGTCCGCAAATGGATTTATATGGAGATTTGTGTACAATATAGGTTCAAGTAGAATATGAAGCTCACAGGTACGCAGGGATTGAAACTATCTGGTGAGCCGTAAGAAGCTCGAAACCGATCACGGACATTCCTAGCAAATCGAGATTCAGCTGGGATTTAGATGGGCCCCCCGTTTAAAAGGAATCAGTTTACAAATGTGCGTATCTGGCAAAACCTAAAAAGATACTTCAACGTTCGGTAAATTTAGTCCAAATTCGCATAGTCGCAAAGGTCTCCGAAATTCAGTCAAGTCTAACATTATCATCAGCGCAATTTGCAAACGAGTGTATAAACATAAAATATGATGTAAGGTTGCGAAATAACTTTGATGGACACCCGGGGACGATGCTTGATTTACGAGTACCTAGATGGGGTGAAATTGATTGTGACCTGCCTGAGGATTTCACTATTCCTTAAAAGTAGCTTCGTCTCCGCAAACCCAGAGGGTATTGCCTGCAGCTTCGCGTAATCTGATGAGGCAAGTAATTGCACTATGAAGTCTGACTGTATCGGTCCCGAAAATATATATGCTCAAAGTTTACAAATCAGCATGTTAATGTGGGTAATTGCAGAGATATTTATGGAAATTTTCTACAACAGATCACATGCATATCTGCAAAAGGTTAGTCAGAGACACAATTTACTAGGACTAACATAGTAAGATGTGAGACAATTCAAATAGTCTTCTACTTTGCGCGGTCGCTCAACGGTCTTGAACCTTTTTAGCCTTTTTTTAGCCTTTTTTTTAGCCTTTTTTTAGCCTTTTTTAGCCTTTTTTATCTGGGCTATCGGTAATAATTTTTTTATGTGTTACGTGCTGAAAGAAATGTTAGGAAGTGTTAATAGCCTTTTATGGGAAGCCCGGGTGCATTCTATATTAAATCAAGGTTTGGGATTCCATTTTGTCAGTTGTATCGTTGGATGTGATCACCTGAAATCATTCCGAATGCACGTTTGCTGGTGTCATCCAGGTGACTATTGCAGGGCTTCGGGTCTTCGCGTTGCGGTCTTGCCTGTAGCAACCCATCATCATGTCTGGGCCTGGTCAGGGTGGAAAGGACTCGGGAAAGGAGGAGCAAAACGCCTCCACAAGGGCTAACATCCAGGGAATCATCAAACCGGCCATCCACCCTCTCGCTTGCCAAGGTGGTGCGAAGCGCATCTCCCGTCTGATACGTGGTGTCCTGAAGTTGTTCTTTGAGAAGATCATTCGTGACGCCGTCACCTATACCGAGCACGCCAAGCGAAAGACTGTCATCGTTTCTTTGCTTACTCAGTAAAACGGGAACAATATTTTGGTCCTAAACACATGCCAGTATGCCCGGTTTCGCTGCTGACGTCGGCAATTTTGTCACACCAGATCAGCCGTGACTTTGGTCGCTGCGTTTGAGTTTGGATGTGATGTGCGACCCGTTCTGAATACTACGTCTGGCGGGGAGTTTAACTGGAGCGGTACATCTGTTAAATGGTAACGCCGGTGTCCAAAGATGAGTTCAGCCTGGACAGAAACGTGGCGTGGAGTAGAAGGGCCAAAAGTTTACTTGATTTTGATTTTCACTAAGAATACAGGCCTATCGATCCGTTTGATTTTGATATTCGGAGTTTGAGGCAAGAGGTGTCGGAAAAATTATCACCGGGATAACTGGCTTGTGGCGGCCGAACGTTCATAGCGAATTCGCATTTGATCCTCTGATGTCGGCTCTCCCTAGCATGTGACGCAGAATTCACCAAGCTTTGGATTGTTCACCCACTAATAGGGAATGTGGACTGGGTTTAGACAGTCGTGAGGCAGGTTAGTTTTACCCTACTAATGAGTACAATGACTCGTTGCAGTACAAACTGGTCGTTACTATAGTAATCCTATTTAGTACAAGAGGAACCACTGGTTCAGACATTCATCATACGTGCCTGTCCAAAGGCCTATGGTGCGAAGCTACCATCTGAGGGATTAAGACTGAACGCCTGTGAGCTTGAATCCCGTCCGTACATTCTGCGCCTGTTACACGGCAAGGCTTGCTTACGTTTTCATTGGCGCTTGGCCCAGACCATGAGTCTGTCCTGGCCCATTAGATCTGGCGTAATGCCACAGTGGTTATCGAAACCGTACACCGGACCTTGCTGTGCAGAGGACAACGCGATACCCGAAGGTAGAATTAGCGTTAAGGCACCAAATCGTCGGCAGATGACCCAATTTTTTGTCAAGGAGGTGTAAGCGTTCGAGCAGCTGCCATGCTGCGAGACGTTTAGCCCTATCCCTTTTGAACAATGTTGGTAGGGGAGTAGGAGTACTGGAATGTGTCGTAGCTCTCATGCTCATGCCCTCATTCGGACATGAAATAACCCTACGCTGTGAGGTCACTGAACAAATGCTTATTCGAACCCGCCATATGACTAATGCACGTAACAAATTCGGAACCAGATTCTGTCCGGTTGGCAGCAAACCTCGGCAAACACGAAATCCGGGCGAAAACTGAAGCAATCAGCATTTTAAAATTTGATAGTTGCTATGCGGACACCCTAGTGGCGAAAGCCTCTGAAGAGAACTCTTTCAAGTAGGTCCATCCAAGTAAAACTTTTTTGGAGATGTATTCATTTGAACGTAACTGTGTAGCATACAACTTCCTTGTCACTCATCGGAAGAAGAATACTCGAGGCAGTTCGAGTAATTACTTGTCGCAATGAAAAGCGTTCCCAAGTAATTTTACTCTTGTAAGACTATCGTGGTGTGTAGGGGAATGATAAGCACAGAAAAACCTTCTAATTATTGATGTGCAAGAGCTTTTTTATTGTGCTGGGTGTTTTTTACTTTGGAGGCAGGCGGGTACCCGAGAAAATGAAATATAAGTGCATGAAATAAGGTAAACATCACCTACCTTAAAAGAATAAGAAAAACGAATTTCGATAGCCTTCTGGAAACACTGAAGGTCATATTTTGTCCAGTTTACTGGTGGGGTTCTTGGAATGAAACTGGTATTTATTTTCTGGTCAAACTTGTTTTCTTTCGCGCCAGTATTGAATTTTTTTTGTTTTCTATGCGTCCACTGCTTAAATTTACGTTGAGAACAAACATGCTTCCACTTTCCCAGACCACCTAGCCAATGCGGTAATAGCTTTCTAAGCGGAAATTTATTAGCCCCGAGGTGTTTCACATTACTTATCGGTGGATGGACATGTGAAATAGTTCCTTTTTAGGGCCTAATGATGCCTAAATAGACAAAATAAGGACAATTTTGACTGTTAGAAACTTGAGAGTTTCATATGTTTTCGTAGATTGCTTAGCAATTCGTCTGCTGACTGATGAGCAGTTCCGCGAATGACGTAGCTTACATTTCAGGAATTTGGTCTTGTGCTGTACCGCATAAACACACGCAATACCTCAATACAAATGACTAAAAAAGTTTTAAGTGCACCTCTCGTACCAAAATGAAACCCTTTTCAGTTGGCTCAGTTGGCAGGCAAAGAAAAATAAAACCAGCCCGTCAAGTGTTCCTGGAATATAATTTCAGACCGAAGCTGTGGCTTTCATATGGTTGAAGATAGACCGCTGATTGCTGGTGGTACTGCTTACTACCCGTGGAATGCAACACTCTTCTTAAGTCAGCCAGTTCAACTGCTAAACCTGGACCTTGACTTGAATGTTCTTCCGAATTTCCCTGCTGCGTTTTTCTGCAACACTTGCGTCCTTGTGGGTCACTAACCAACATAAGATACACATGGAGGTAAAAGCGGAGGAAAGGTTATTATTTATTCCGGTCACTCATGCAGTTTACTGCCTATATCCCAGTATTTCCCGAGATATTTTGAGCTTTAATCTAGAGATTCTATGCATATCTGAATAACAGTTGGCTATACAATGTAAGCAAAGTTTCACAAGGACGGGAAAATTACTGACTGTAAGGGAGGCAGTACAGTCAATTTATTTACCAGGCTAGCGAAGCGTTTAAAAACGTCCCTGTTTTTAGAGACGGCTAATGAAGCCATTCATCACATCGCACGGTTGAGTCAAAGCTAAGGGTTTACTGCAAGCGGAAACATAGAAAACTTTTTTCCTCTGGTCGCCGGCAGATCTAAATTGCTACTTTTAACTGATTTGACGTAATTTCATTAATCATGTGAATTCCCTCGCTCCTCTTCGTACAAACTTTGCTGTCTGGATACCGGAAATGCACTTGCTTGTCTGTTTGTTAGTGAACACAGCTCACTAAACATGGAGTTTTATGTTGACTCTATTAGAGTGACAGAGTTACAATCGACTTAGGAAACAGGCACGGTATTTTTCGAATTCGAAGATCTAAGTTGGATGTATTTTAGCAATTGGTTCGGCCACCGATAATTTCCACTCTAAACCCCAAGCTTCCGGAATAGGAAAAAAGCTAAGAAGCACATTCCATAACTCCAAACACGCTAACAGACACTTTACTGGTGGCACCATAATAGATGAACTCCTCCATCCAAATGAAACCGTAAACTCTGATTGTACATGGGGATTAAGTTAATTCCAGTTAATTCCAGCAGATTGTAAGCTGTTCCTGTCTGCATTTCTGTTGATAAGATTGGATAAATATCTGAATAGAGGAAAATATCGGTAGCTCAGGTAGCGTAGATGGTCGTTCGCTTGTTCGCTGAGCTGGGCATTTTGATTGCAAATGCTCCATCACAACGCTTTGAGCGTACAACGCTCAAAGAAGCTCGTCACTGGGAAGACTTCGCCTGCCGACAAGCCTCTAAATGCGAACAGTTACACTTTCTCCATGAATGTCTACGTAGAAACGTGCTTCCACCCAGTACTAATCACAGACCTGCGCTAGACCATCCGCAGGCGCGGGCCCCAGCAAGGTAGTATGGCAGACGAATGGTGAAGTTATTGATAACAGATGTCCACAATCGTCTCAGTAAATACGCAAGAGTACTCACATAGGGTAAAACAAATTGTTTGGCCAAGACTAGTCCACAGCGCTTGGTAGAATTTGAAATAGCAATCGGACGCCGAGTAGACAAGGTCAAGATCAAGCGTAGAACAGCCATGGAATGAAAAATGTGCAAGCTCAAGGAACAACTAACACAACAATTACGACGCTTAAATCAAGAACTTATCTGACCACCAACTCAACACAGCCGAACCAGAATTGCTAATGGAAGGGCTCAACTTCAAAGTCGAGGACCCGTCTTACAAAGATTACCTAGACAGCTTAGAACACGCCCTGAAAACAAACGAAATGTCCAAAGAGGTTCAACAACAGATCCGACAGACAACTGTACTGGCGATCACACGGAATAGAAACATGCAATTGATTTCCAAAGAAGAACGAGACACACTCACAAATCTACGAAAGGTGAAACAATCGTAATACTACCGGCGGACAAAGAGCGCGTCATTGCGATGATGCACAAGACAGATTACATTCAAAAGGCCAAGCAAGTGCTAAACGATACCACGGTCTAAAAACTAATCGATCATGATCCAACTTCAAATATCATCATTCGCATCAACAAGACGCTCAAGAAACTACAGGCAACACACGTGATAATCAGACAAGAACGATGGAAAATGAAGGCCGATGATACCAACATTGCACAATTCTACGGACTACCAAAGGTGCACAAACAAGGAACTCCACTTAGACTGACCGTTTCACTTCCGGGAACCCTAGCTTACAAATTAGCAAAAAACTCATGGGGGAGATAGAAACATTTAATTTCTGGATCGGAATACACAATAAAAAATGCAGGTCAATTCCCACGCAAAGTACGGAACTTCAGTATAGAAGACGATGAAGTCATGCTTTCATTCGAGTTCGCATCACTGTTCACTTCAATCAAACGCAACCTCGCACGGGAAACCATAGCAGAACTGCTTCGTAATACCAAACACGACAGAAGCCATGAAACCTGGACCTATATGCAAACTGTTGGACTTTGGCATGGATACATACTTTACCTTCGAAGGACAAACATATCAACAGTTGAAGGGATCTCCAATGGGATCCCAAATATCAGGACTTATTGCTGAGGCGGTAATGCAAAGGCTAGAACGTGCGGTACTGCCGTTCATCAATCCAAATCTGTGGATCCGCTAAGTGGACGTCACCTTTGTCATCATGAAACGAGATTCAGTACACGAGGCACATGAACTGCTCAACATCACTTTTGAAGATATCAAGTTTACAATCGAACTAGAAAGAAACAATCGACTACCATCCTTAGACGTTCCAGTGAACAGAAAGATGGATGGGACTCTGGAAACCTGCGTATACCGGAAGGAGATTCATACAGATCAAATACTGAACTACAACAGCAATCATCCAGTAAACCACAAGAAGAGCTGCGTCCATACCTTGTTCAAGAGGGCGGAGACACACTGCAGCACCACAGAACTGCGGAAGAAGGAAGAAGACTATCTATTCAGGATATTCCAGAATAATGGATATCCAAGGATTTTTATCAAGAGAAGCTTGAAGAAGAAGACANAAACTAATCGATCATGATCCAACTTCAAACATAATCAATCGAATCAACACGACGCTGAATAAACTGGAAGCAACACACGAGAACACCAGACAGGAACGATGGAAAATGAAAGCCGATGATACCAACATTGCACAATTCTACGGACTACCAAAGGTGCACAAACAAGGAACTCCACTTAGACTGACCGTTTCACTTCCGGGAACCCTAGCTTACAAATTAGCAAAAAACTCATGGGGGAGATAGAAACATTTAATTTCTGGATCGGAATACACAATAAAAAATGCAGGTCAATTCCCACGCAAAGTACGGAACTTCAGTATAGAAGACGATGAAGTCATGCTTTCATTCGAGTTCGCATCACTGTTCACTTCAATCAAACGCAACCTCGCACGGGAAACCATAGCAGAACTGCTTCGTAATACCAAACACGACAGAAGCCATGAAACCTGGACCTATATGCAAACTGTTGGACTTTGGCATGGATACATACTTTACCTTCGAAGGACAAACATATCAACAGTTGAAGGGATCTCCAATGGGATCCCAAATATCAGGACTTATTGCTGAGGCGGTAATGCAAAGGCTAGAA